AATAAGGAGCTGACAAATCGTTCACCACTAGATGATAAATAGATTCATTATGCGTGTAAAATAAAAAGACAATGAGGCTGGGAACAGCCTGCGAACGTTAGGTAACGTTGTGTGAGCTTATTAAAAATTATTTTATTTATTGCTTAATGATTTATAAGCTATTTTAATCAGAAGCTATGTTCGCAAAATGCCGTGAGTATGATCGTTTAAAATGTCATCAAAACCAGATAAAAAGATAAACTCTCTAAAAAAAATCATGATTTGCACCAAAATAATTTTACCATACAAATGAGCAACTTCATTCGTGTAATTGAAAAGAGGTCAATATGTATATCCGGCAGCAGCCTGACGCTGATTCATACCACCAACAATGAGAACTAAAATGTGAAATAAAGCTTTCATTGGTAGATGGATCGGTTGAGATTGTGTCTCTTCGTGCTCCTAAATAGGGTGAGACGGATAGGCTTGCGGAGATTATATTAATTGTTTCGATAACAATTTTAGGTATTTAATTAGTATGCAATAATAGAATTCAAAATAATGTAGATAGGTGCAAAATACAAAATAGAAGTGTAAACCGAATCTTCATCATAAATAAATAATAGAAGCTTACCGAATCTGGACTTTAGAAATAGTGGAGAGCCGAGACAACGCAACCGGCCATTAGCCATGATTGCTATGCGGTCACCCAGGTAATCTGCTTCATCCATATGATGCGTAGTCACAAGAAGTGTGCGCGAATGTCGCTCGCACTGCAGAATATCCCACACTTGACGTCGGGCATCTGGATCTAGCCCAGCTGTTGGCTCATCTAAAATCACTACCTAATGAATGAGGTTAAGAAAAAAAGGAAATAAGGTCGGGCAAAACAAGTTGCGGATGAATAAAGGCTACATATGTGCATTTATACTGGAGAAAAACCAATCGCATGCTGTTTTTTTTATCAAAATAATATTAGGAAATAGTTATTTATAAATACTCATGTAGAATTTGGTGATTAGTAGTGTAGGCGACCAAAAGTTACAATATCCATACCCCAGAAGTGGAGCTAATAGGAAAAGAGAACAAGTAAATTCAAGCTGCAGTGAAATTACAT